AGGAAGGAAGGAAGGAAGGAAGGAAGGAAGGAAGGAAGGAAGGAAGGAGAAAGTGAATGAGGTATCTAGTCCAACTACCTGCTCCAGCAGGGTTAGAAGGGTGTGTGTGTGTGTGTGTGTGTGTGTGTGTGTGTGTGTGTGCACATGGCTGTCAAAACTCCAAAAACAGGCCAAGTAGCTTTGGGGAGGTCAGTCATAAATTAGAACAGTTGCTAAGCAACCAGCCATTAAACGAGGACCACTTGTATTTTGTTTGCCAGTCACATGGCCACGCCCACCCAATCACTTGGCCACCAAACCACACCCACCTGGTCACATGACCAAGCCATGCCTACAAATTAGGCCATGCCCACAGAATTGGTTGTTAAGAAATTTGAATCCCACCCCTGGGTGGGGGGCACTGAGGATGACTTTGTAGCACCAAGGGGGTGGTGGATTGAAACCGTTTGGGAATCACTGAACTACACCATCAGAACGACCAATCAATGACAGAGCTGACCACCCCCTTAACAGTTGACTTTCACACCACGCGACCAACCAGTTACATGACCAACTGACCAAATGTCAGCCTTCAAGATCTTCTTCCTTTGCTTTGCTTCTTTCTGGCAGTCATGAGTAATGGGGGGAGGAAGGGGAACAATACTGGGGCCACTATCCGGGGTCCAGTGGGCTGGATGAAACCACATTCCAAATTTTTATCGATAAATGACCGCAGCTCTTCTAATTCCCGCGGTGTCATCTAGTACAGGTTCGGTTTTGGGAGTTTCACCCCAGGTAAAATTTCAATATTACAATCTGTTAAACGATGAGGGGAAAGTTCATCTGAGGCCTTCTCACTGAATACTTCCTTTAAGTCCCAATATACCTCTGGAATTTTCTCCTCTCCCTTCAGTTCCTCGGTACCCATGGAAGCTAAGTCAATAGGATTCTGGAGTTTCGGTTGAGATCGCCCCTCCCCTTCCGGGCGCTGGTCGGTACATATACGCAATGACCCTCTTCTCCAATTGACGTGGGGGTTCCATTTCCGGAGCCAGGGAAATCCCAGTATTAGCAGCTGTTCCATCCCAGGGGCCACAATAAAACACAGTCTCTCTATGCTTCCCCATTGTCATTTCTATGGGTTCCATTATGAAACATGCAGGCCCACCCCCTGCCACTGATCCATCCAATTGGCAAAAGGCTATGGGCGTTTTTAAAGTTTTTAGTCTTTGGATGAATGGATAACACAACTCCAGCTTAATTGGCCAGTCGCTTGTAAAGCATTGGATGATGCACATCAGGCTCACAAGAAATTTGCAGACAAAAAGAGGACTCCACAAAAACCATATCAAGCGAGTGATAAAGTCTTTTTGTCCACCAGATATCTACATACCACTCAAAAGTCAAAGAAGCTTGGTCCTAAGTATGTTGGTCCTTTCTTGATTGAACAAATTGTAAACCCTGTGACAGTCCAATTGAAATTACCTAAAAGCCTTCGACGAATTCACCCGGTTTTCCACGTTAGTTTGTTAAAACCTGAACATACTTCTGATCTGAGACTGACCCAGACCGACCCTCCTGTACCATTGCTTATTGATGGCGAACAACATTTTGAAGTTAAAGAAATTGTAGACTCTTGAAGATGGAGGGGTCAGCTCCAATATTTGGTTGCTTGGAAGCATTTCCCTTCTTCCCAGGCTGAGTGGGTCAATGAAAAAGATGTTAGAGCCCCTAAGCTTGTCAGAGCATTTTGTTCTAATTATCCTGATGAACCCTAGATACGTGTCTCTTTTATGTTAACTGGTTATTAATTCGTGCCTTTTATATTTCCCTCTTTTATAGGACTAACGTCTTTTTTCTAGGAGGGTCAAATGTCAGCCTTCAAGATCTTCTTTGCTTTGCTTCTTTCTGGCTGTCATGAGTAACGGGGGGAGGAAGGGGGACAAGTATGGGAAGTGTTACTAACTAATATTGTATGAACTGAGGAGGGTTTCTATTTCTTGCTTAGCTTTCTCCTCTCTGCGCAGCTGCAAACCCTTATCAGAGTATGCCAAGGTCAACTAATCATCACCACCTGAAGCTGTCCACATGATGAGGTTCACAACTTTTAATTGGAAGAACCATTTGAACTATTGGGGGTGGGAACATATCACTCCCTTGATATATGTGATGTACGTGCCTATTTCCTCAGATTCAGAATTCTCTTGTTGCTACCACTTGACTTCCAGTAAAAGATATCTTTTCTCTAATTACAAGAGTCTAAGTTTTTCTTTCTTGGATTTTAAATGGAGCACCAGCTGACATTATTCCACCACACAAAGACCTATTTAAGTTGAAGAGAAATGAAACAAGACACTTCAAAGTCCCACTGATGAAGTTACCTAGCCTGGTAATGAAATGTTCATGAGCTAAACAGCAAGCTCGGAGTGCAAACCATAACCAAAATCCTTTCCATCTTTAGTACAGGGTTGGTTGTAGTATCTGTCCATGCCCAGATTACAAAGAACATCTGTCCCTCACAGATGTTTACTGAGGTCAGAACCTGTTGATTGACAAGAACCCATTCAACAGGGTTGATTAAATCAGATGCCCAAAAGGGCCTTTCAAAGAATTGCTATGCATTTATTTCCAGTATAGAGGGAAACAGGTCACTTAGAACAAGTGTGAAAAAGAAGACATGGATTTCCATAAATATTACATTTGCTATGAGAAAGAAGAAAATAGACATACTAGCATAAGAATTGATACCTTTTGCCTGCTAATTCTACTGTCCACATGTTAATTGTTAAAGAGAAAAATCATTTAAATTCTGGATATTCTATCCCATAGATATTTTCCTTTAAATCAGGTATGGACTGGGGAGTGTCTTAATCAGAGGACATTTTCAGACAAAGGACAGAGTTCTTCCTCAACACATAATCCCATTGCTGCAGACTACAAGCTAAGTATAAATGTATAGGTCAGGGGTGTCAAACTCGCAGCCTGCGGGCCAGAGGCATCACATGCTGGCCACCCCCACCCCCAGTTTAGCGAAGGTGGGAAAAGTTGCTATATGTCATGTGACGACAATGTGTTATTGCGAGTTTGACACCCCTTGTATAGGCTGAGGCTGGTGAGGTGAGATCAAAGGTTCTCAGGCTAAAACAGGCTATTATGCAAAGATATCTCAACCATTCCTAACATCATCAAGGGACCTTCCAAGCTAATTTGGAAGTTTGGAAGAAGCCAAGTCATAGATGTGTACAGAGGAATGCAGGTGAATGGTGGCATAGGAGTCAAGACATCATCCTTTATGAAACATAGGTGGAGGTACAACTTATGTATTTAGTCCAACATGGTACAAGTAATGCAAATTACATAATTCTGTTATTTGTGTGATGATATTATGACATGCATGTCATCATTTTAACATCATGATGGCCAAAAATAGATACCAATGATCCAGGGACCACCGGTAGTCTGTACTAATGGATTCCCTTGGTTTGACATAGACCTATTTTTAATGGATACCTCTCAAGAGACTGCAAAACTTTACTAAATTTTGGTGTTCCATATACAACATCACTGAAATAATCTGAATGTTGCATAGATCATAGGTTCATAGATTTTGAGTTAGGGCCTGCTGACTTGATTCAGTGTGCAAATCCACCCATTTTTGAATTTGTAGATTAAAAAACACTGTAACTAGTAGAAAGAAAATGGTGCAAGCTTTACTATAAAACATGAAACTAAAGTAAATCTCACCTTGGTAATAAATACCATACTGTGGGTTTCTGCAAGGTCAGTGGTAATCACCTGTCCACAATAGAATCTCTCAACTTTGCAGTAATTAGCTATTTTATCTATTGAAGAATCAGGCAGCGTTTGAAAAAGATCTATAGCCCTGAAAATAGAAAAAAAATGTGGCTATTCTCATCAACTGTGTAAGTAGAAATTGAAATTTTTTGGCTAACTATAGATCAAAGCATTCAGTTATGGCTCCGAGATATTCACCTCTAAATTCATGTTTATTCCACTATGTAAGGAATTCCATTAAAGATAAAGGAGAACACAGGCAAAGAAACCCAATAATCACTTGTTTCTAAGTCTAGCACCTGAAACAGACTTGTTATTTTGTTGGCTTGATGCAGCTCAACAGACAACCCACCATTTAATTTCTCTGAAATATCCTATGTATATATGTGCATACTGTCTGTATTCTGGAAAAATGAAAATGATCAAGCGTGGAACAGATGCTTAAGCTCTAAATAATATATATCACTGGTGCTGCTACTGTTTCCTCTTGTTCCCAAGTTAATAGCAACAAGTGACAAATAAAGAGGAGGAGGGGGAGAGAAATGGAACCCAGGAAGAAGAAAAATTCAAATAGTTTCTGCCAGGTTTCTGTAGGGACCCCTGGAGATGACTTTGAAGAAACCATCCAGCAAGTGTTAAGAAAACAGCAGATGCAGAAGTAGTTTGTGTTAAGCTCTCAAGACAAGAAGAGACCCAGGCTAGCCTACCTTTGACTCTTGAGCATAAAAGAGATGGCAGGGACAACATAGGCAAGTTTCTGCTACTAGCACCTATCTCAATAAAGCAGAATTCTGGCCTTGTCTGTGGGATCCATTCTCTGATCTGGTCCACCTATAGGGCTGAAATCATTTTTTTCCCAAGGTTTTGGAAATTGTGTTTCCTGACAATTTCAAATCAGCAATGTTTGATTTGTGAAGCAAAAGCTACAGGCAAGGTAAAGGGAAGGTCTAAAAGGCCCTGGAGCTAAATTTCAGGTGTATTCCTACCTCTGCGAAAAAGCTGTGAACTGTGAAGGGTAGCCTGCAATAACCTAAAATGCTTTCGCCCAAATGGGCAGAAATGCTTGAGACAATATAATTGGGGAGTGTGTACTGCAGAAGGTGAGTGCGGATTCAGAGAGGGTGAAGCTTCTGCCTTCCAGAAGTGGCTGCCTGGATGTTCTGGGGATAGGCAATGATGTAGCTGAGTTGATAAATATACCAAAGCATTTTGCTTCAGGCAACTTGAAAAGGAAGATATCTTGAAAGCACAAATGGATGTCTGCTGCTGCAAAAGTCCCCTCTCAAGGCCCCTCTTTTATGAAAATCCTGAACAAAAAATAGAGATCAGCAATATGGACAATCTCTGTAATGCTGCTTTATTAATGAAAAAAATAGTGAATGCTTAACAACCTATTCTTTTTCAACCCATTAATAAAATGGAATGAGCTAAAAAGAAATGATAAAATAAAGGTAGAATAATTAAAGGGAAATATTATAAAAGGCTGGGTCAGAAAGAGCTGCATGTTTAACTCTCTGTAAATGGGGAAAATAAGGATAAAACCCCCTAGCTGTAAATTCTGATGCAGTGTAATAATAGCTTATTTTTGTAAATATAAGCCCAAATCATCCTAAATGTATCCTCAGCTAGATAAAGGCCTATTCATTACAGGTCATGGCCATAATCATTGGGTCTAATTATCACACTGATCTAGTGAAACTTGATAGATGCATGTTTTCTGAATTCACAGCCTGCGAGAGAGTAATTGGCCCAAATCATCCAGCTGGCTTCATGCCTAAGGGAGAAGTGGAACTATGATCCTTCCACTCAGTTCACACTTTAACAGCCAAAGTACAATAACTGTCAGGTGGACAGGCAGGTTATTTTATTTGTTTATTAAACAAGTTTGTTTAGGTTTCCAACTCACACACACTGACTCTGGCAGGCATACAACATTAAAAATCTACAGTTAAAAATCCACAATCTACACCTCCACCTTATCCCATGGAAGCATCAACAAACAAGCCACTTGATTGGCTCCAAATGGGGTCCCTAAACCTGCTGGCAAAACCATGTTTTCAAAGCCTCGTGAAAAAGCAACAAGATGGGGGCTAATATTATCTCTATAGCAGATGTGTCAAACTCAATCCCATTACAGCCATTATCAGGATTTTATTTGCCTTTGTGGGGCTGGGATGGGCAGGGCCTGGTCATTGTGGCTGACTGGGTGGGCATAATCATAGTGGTTCAGTGTTGACGTGGCACAGGCCAGTCCCTCACTGTCTTCAGGATGGCCCTTTTTCTAGGTCCCACCAGATGTAGTTCCTTGATTGTTGGGACCTGCAAGATACTCTGCCTTCCTATTCTCATGGGCTGGGTTGATGTAATTTGGGAGAGGTGGCCCATCAAATAACCTGGCCGCAGACAATGCAGAGTTTTAAAACTGATAACTAGCACTTTGAATGCCAGAGCAGGGGTGGGATTCAATTTTTTTTACTACCTGTTCTGTGAGCATGGTTTGGTGGACGTGGCAGGGGAAGGATACTGTAAAATCTCCAGTCAGAGGTGGTATTTGCTGGTTCTCTGAACTACTCAAAATTTCTGCTCCAAGTTCTCCAGAACTGGTCAGAGCCTGCTGAATACCTCCTCTGACCCAGAGGCAAATTGGCAATCGGTGTAGTTTCTGCAAAAGAATTGACACTTATGCAAATTTGGACATGCACAAAACCATGAGAGTGGCTGCATTTTGATCCAACTCCCAAAAACCATTTCAGAAGGATACCATGGTCAATGGTATCAAAGGCTGCTGAGATTAAAATGCTTGGTGTCTTATTGAAAAAGAAACACTCCTTATCTACGGAGTTCTTTCTATAAAGGCTGATTCATTGAACCAAAGCCAAAACTATAGAAACAATGGACAAGAGCGATATAAGGAATACCTCAAATAGTCATAGCGAACTTTGAATTCCCGTTGAAGTTCCTTATCTAGTTTATAGGCAAAAAAATCCTTTTTATCCACCACCAGCAATTCCGTTTCCTCCATACAGACAACAGTGGCGATTCTTTTCGTTTTTTGCAAAAGGGCAATTTCCTGTTAATAAGCAAGAGATAAAGGAAAGCGAATATTGTCATGGTTTATTTGTCTTCTTTTCCTATTATATACTTGATCCTTTTCCTTTTATTTAACTTTTCTCTTCTTATCCTCCTCACTGGTCCACCCCTCCCTTCGTATTTCCTAAACAAAAACTCTTCCCAGCTTTGCCTTCCCTTTTGCCAGACAGCAGAGTAAATCTATCAATAGAAGCCTTCCTGAAACCACCATCATTTTTACTCTGTAATACCGGAGTCTATTTGGAATTCTACAATACTTTAGGAAATACAGATGATCCAGGATGATGGAGCTGGCTTCATAGTATGCCACCTTGATTTTGAAATGTAGAAAAAAACTTTTTGTGGCAAGGATTTTATGGCCCTGGACACTTTACATTGTCCTATCTTTCTATTCAACAAGATTTTCTGATTATCAATATCCTTGAAAGTTATCTAACTTGGCGATGCTACCTGCTGGATTTTGAAGCTGAAACTTCCCAATGCTTGTGAAGAGCAACATCTTCAATTGGAAAAGCAATAGTATAATTTTTATATATTGAGAATGCTTAGAAGCATAAAATTTATCAAAGTTTGAAACTTATATTGATATTTCTTTTGTGGAAAAAAGTGTGCATGTATGTGTTTATATTATGGAAAGAACCATTTTCTTTGCTAATACTGAAAAGTTGAAAACCACAGTTGCAGATCACACTCACACCAAAAGAAGCACCCCTCTGAATTGTAGTTGGAGCTGTTTCCACAAAGGCACTGCTACCATCATCATCATCTGTGATAGCGACTGTACCATAATAAATGAAGTAAAAGGCAGTTGCTTCATGCCCTTTTTTAATGACCACTCTTCTGCGGCCAAATCTGGAAAACAGATAATCAAAAATGGCAAAAATGAACCTGAACAAGACTTAAAGTACTAGCAACAGTTCGCTAGCCTTCCTCAATCTGATGCCCTTTCAAGTGTGGATTTATTTATTTATTTTTCAAATTTATATATAGTAGCTGCCCACCTCACCAAAGAAGGGATTCCGGGGTAGATTAACAGTAGAGTTTCAAGAATTTCAGGCCAAAAAAGCTAAAAGTTGCTTTTTCTTTGCTTCAAGGTTTCTTTATAGGTTCAGTGACACTGTAGATATACAGGGGATATCTGCATTACAGATTTATCAGCTGTGCAGTCACATTCCTCACAATTTCACACACAGATTAAGGGTACCTTCACAAACACTTCCTCTGACTTGAGATATGTCATTATCTGCCAGCACTGTCTCTCTTTAATGGAAGGTGGGAATGATCTCGGAAGACAGGAGGAAGAGATGTAGCCGAGACAATGGTCTGATAGGTGAAATTTGAGTCTGAAGGAGGACAGGTAGTGAAAGTGTCTCAGAAGAACCCCCTCTAATTTTGGAGTGAATAAAGGTGAGGGATGGGATGCAATTTTCAAACTGGTAAGATTCTGTTACTACAACCTTTCAATAAAGATAGAGATAGTACTCCTGATTAGGCTTCTTGTCTGGATTACCACACAAGGCTAACACCCTCTGGAGTCAAGTAGTAAACCGTGGGGCAAACTTTCTGTAGAACGCACACGTTTGACATCCGGACTCAAGACAAGGGGCATAGTAATAACTGCCAATATACTCTATAACAGACCATATACTCTATAACAGACCATTCTCTGGAGCAAAGAAACTTCACCAGCACAATTGCATAAAAGACTGCTAAAAAGTTGACTCAGCCTTTCATCCTTCTGAGGTCAGTAAAATGAGGACCCAGATTGTTGGGGACAATATGCTGACTCTGCAAACTGCTCAGAGAGGACTGTAAAGCACTTGAAGCAGTATATATGTCTAAGTGCTATTGCTATCACATATATTAATCTCAAAAGAACTCAACAAACACAATGGGTTTTTAACATAATTCAAAGTTTAATGTATAAGGAACCTGTAATTTGTGTCTGCAGAACTAACAATTTATAACTTCTGCTTTTTCCCTTGCCACCTCATTCCAGTTTAAATCCTACTTCAGTTTAGCCACTTCATGTATCCAATGAAGAAGCTTATGACTATTTAAAACAACATGTGTGTCTGAGAAGATGCTACCAGACATCTGGTTTTTCATAGACTGGATATGGGACATGTAATTATCAGTTGGACACTGAAATAATGCATAGCTTATATTCTTCTGCCTTTCTATATCCAACAGATTTCTTTTGTTTGCTATTTCTTGTGTAGTATGCCACTGCTATATTTTTTGAAACATGAGAGAGTGCATTCCTTTAACAGGCATCTTCTTTTTTGTGTCTGAATAAGCATCATTCTCAGAGAACAATTAAGATCATTATCTGTTCTTTTCTTCTTTATTAATGTCAAATTAAAGCAAAAAGAATAAGATCTTGTGACCAATTGACTGAAAATATAATCAGTTTTGGATGTCTTTAAAAAGTGGGGAATAAGAGACAATCTAGACCAGGGGTATCAAACACAAAGCCTGCGGGCTACATCTGGCCTTCAATATGGTTGGATCTGGCCCTCAGGGATGTCCTGGAAAATGTAAGGGACTGGCCTGCATCGCTTCGGACCAGTCTACCCAATGCGAAGGGGACACATGCCAGCATTTGGGGAGTAGTGTCAAGCTGGCCATGCCCACCCAGTTGGCCACACCAAACCAGTTGGCTACACCGACCAACCCACCCCAAGGTCAACCACAGCCCTGATGTGGCCCTCAATGAAATTGAATTTGAAACCCCTGATCTAGACCATGAGTGTCCAAACTTTTGGCTTGTCTGGGTGAAAAGGAAATAGAATAGAACAGAACAGAACAGAATAGAATACTTTATTGGCCAAGTGTGATTGGACACACAAGGAATTTGTCTTGGTGTAAATACTCTCAGTATACATAAAGAAAAGATACATTCGTTAAGAATCAAGAATTATAACGTAGTGAATTGCAGATAATAATAAGGAATAAAGAAACCATTAGAGAGCATTTCATCGAGGCAGCCGTCGTCGGTGCCATCTTGGCTGATCTGTATATAAACCACACAATAATGATAAGATTACAGTCTTGTGAGATCACATTACTAGCTCACCAGGGCTGCATGTTGCCTGTGGGCTGCAGGTTGGACACGCCTGATCTAAACATTGTAATAATGATATTCTTCAGTGTATCTCTTTCCAATGTCTCCCTCTTTTCTCTATAAAAGCAGTTATGAGTTATGAGATACTCAACCTAGATCTGATCTACACGGAGAAGAGATCTTAAGATTTTTCTTTCTCTCACTAGTTAACAGTTACTGGGAAGCAAAACCAGAAGGAAGCTGCTGCATTCTTTTTTATGCGACTGTATGACTATGCCACTCTGGGACTACAACCCTGGCCTAAAACAATTCTTCTGATACTCTGAATAGTATCAAAGGCACTTTTTGTTATCTTTTTAATAACAAAAACAAGTCTGATGCGTTCTATCAAATCCTAGGAATCCATAGGAAGACCTGGGCCAAAAGAGAAAACAAATAACTTTGCTTTATTTGAATGATACATGCAAAATCACAATGCACAGGGCAGTAACTTAGAACAGATTAAGTGGAGGCAAGGTAGAGATAGGCAACAAAGATAGTAAATTTTATGTCAGTGTAGTTTCAGATAAATGGCTCTTTGGGTAGCTAGAAAGGCAATTTCTCTATTTCCGTAGATCAGGATTGTAGGAGAATATAAAAAGAATATAGAATATAGAAACAACATGGCTTAACCAGTTTTCATGTTTAAAGAAACTATGTCCACTTAGCAAATGTTTGGGAAGCACACTGATTTGTACTGAAGATTACTTAATACAAGTACCATATCTGAGAAGGTGATCTACCTGTATTATTTCCTTCCCTTCAGGTACAACCTTTTCTAATGGCAACAGCTTGGGGAGAATTCCCCCATTACCAACAAAGGGGTGCTGGGCACTGTGGGAAATGTTAATAGGATGAGCAGCTTTCCAGAGTGAATTAGAGTGAGGAGAATACAGGACAACAGTTCCAGAAAGCAGACTGAGACCTTGCAAAAATGTTCCATAGAAACTGTCTGGGATTTTGATAAAGGACTTCTGTGATACCGATAGCAGAATGCAAAATAGTGAGATACCTTAGGCTATTCCAATTCCTTTTATTGGCTATTCCAATAAAAATATGTTGGGTAACCTTGATGGAACATTACCTTTAATTGGCATACTTGGAGAATTTTAAAGCTACAGATCCAGTTTGGATTGCTGCAAAGCCATTATTATCTTCCCCAGCCCACCTTCCCTTCGCAATTACCGTTCAAAGCGAATAACTTTGGCCAATAGATACTGCAGCGTTGGGCTATATTGGCGGAAACTTTCTAAAAGCTGTAAGCGGTTGCGCAAGTGCTTTATTTCTGATTCAGTCCTCCATGTTGGCGGCTTCTTAGTTATTTGGATTGCTCTAAAAGGGAAATGTTCCTGAAGGCAATATCAAATACATTTTAAAATAAATATTCACAGGGGCAGCAGTAAAAGATGATATTGTCATTCTCTCAGGCATCATTAGTCCTCTCTTGCTCTCTCTTTTTCTTTTGCCTCCCTTTAAAAGATGTAACTTTTTTATTTTTTTTATTTAATTTGATTTGTCAATCGCTTACAAGATAATAGGTATAAGAATAAACATAGTTATGAATACACGAAATTGATACATATAAGAAAAATAAAAGAAACAATAGGACAGGGACGGTAGGCACGTTGGTGCGCTTATGCACACCCCCTACAGACCCCTTAGGAAAGGGGTGAGGTCAATACTTCAAAGTTCTATTATTGTTTGCTAGTTTAATCAGAATTTTATCAGGTCTCCTTGTGATAATTTCTCAGTTCCATGGAGAATTGTGTGGTTTCCACCTTCACAAAATAGCAATAAAATTCCATTGCAATGATGGACACTGGATGAACTTTGACCTCAGAATTTCTACAGCTTTACTAGTCCACCCAAGCCCTTCCCATCCCAGTCAGTAAAAAGGCTATGTAACAAGCCTAAGTTAATGCAAAAAATGTGAAGTAATGAAAGTAATGATAGGGGCATTGCTTTCAGGGAAAAGCTTGTGTAATGTTGAGGCATTCTTATAACTGAGAAGGAAGACGGCTGTGGAAGTAATAAGCAGAGCATCAAGCAAGAGAGAGAGGACATTAAAGTGGATTTGGGTCTATTATATCTTTAAAAGGGGTGGGTCTTGATCATGCAGTGACAGTCACAAAGGCCATTTTGACACCCTCCCCCACCTGCAGATGCTCTTGGAAATAAGATCCCCTCAGATACTCCCATGTTTCAGCTATACTGCTTACTGTTTGTGTTTAATTTTTAACAAAGTATGCAGGAATGGCTCAGATGACTGTGAATTGGATTTCACTTCAGCAATTATGTAAATCTTCCCTCCTGGTCTTTTGCTATGCAGCTACTGGACCATAATTCCAACATTCTCCAGCCTACTAAAGAGTTGTAGCGAAGATAATACCGCTATCAATCAATCCAAGGATTGAGGAAGACAACCTTTAGTCCCCATGTTCAGTCATACTGAAGTTCATCTACTTCAATATATTCCACTCACTCTTTTGCACACCTTTCCTCCCTCAAGCATCTCACACTCTCCTCCTTTCAAGCTCAAATATTAAATCCGCTGCAGCAGACACACACAAGTTTTTGCAACTGTGATTCTGTAAAGCAGGACTAAATAACAATAACCACCATGCAGGAAGTTGACAGTGTATTTCACCTTGAACTCAAAACCAAATAACTCAAATAAACCTTTGGTTCAAAACATTTTGAATTGTTGTTCTTGCTTTTATCTTCAGAAGAGATATTTGTTCAATTTCCTTACTGCTATATTCCTACCCTTGTCCTCTAATTGTCTGTCACTGCAGATACAAAACAAATTTGAAAAAATAATATATGGCTTGTCCAAACCTTTGAAACGCTGAATTCATGTCGATCAAACACAATATTGGCGCTTTTGATGTCCTAAAAAGCAGACATTGAATGGCAGTTAATTTTACATAAAATTCTGTAAAAAAAGGGGGCTTAAAAATATTCTACACTTTTATGTTAGTTTTTAGCAAATAATTCTATTTTATATTTATGGTTTCTGATTATATTATAGAATACCAATGGAAGTTAATGTTAAAGAGCAATAATAAATAAAATCAATAATAAAAGACCTTCAGTTATTTTGTGGAACCCCTTACACCTTCAATTTGCCGACGACAGTCTTTCTCTATCAGGTCAAAACCTGCGAATCCTTTCAATGCGCTGCGGAATCCTCGGCATGCTTTTATCATCAGAATAATGTTCACAATGAGCCTGCGAAAATTCTTGGGGGGGGGGGAGGGAAAAAGGCAATACATTGGCCACATGTTAAACATTTGTCATCTGTTATCATCATAAATGGAGATAAATAATACATAAATGCAGAGTGCCTTAGGCATGTTAACCCACTGTCCTCTCTAATACATGCTTGATTCTTGGAGACAAGTAAACAAAATATCTGATAGTGAGATTTACAAGAGCAGTTAAAACAGATTACTGTGTGGAGGAGTTTTTCCTTTAGTACATTGGCTCCACTTTCTAAAAAGCTGATCATTTTATCCATCTCTTCCCTCTCTTCAGCATTACATATGGCTACAGAGAAAATCTTAGAATAAACAATACAGGTAGTCCTCAACTTATGACAATTGAGACCAAACATTTATGTTGCTAAATGAGAAATCTGTGAAGTGAGTTTTGTCCCATTTTATAACTTTTCTTGCCACATTTGTTAAGTGAAGCACTGCAGTTGTTAAATTAGCAACATGGTTGGTTGTTAAAGTGAATCTGGTTTCCCATTGACTTTGCTTGTCAGAAAGTTGCAAAAGGGGATCGCATGACCCCGGGACATTGCAACTATCATAAATGTGAGTCAGATGTCAAACATCCCAATGTAAATCACGTGACCATGGGGGTGCTGCAGTGGTCATAAATGGGAAAAATGGTCATAAGTCACTTTCTACTCTAAGCATGCAGGTATACATGGTACCAAGACAACATGTAGAGCTAATCTCAGGTGTCCCAATATTTTTCACATTCTAGAACTCTGCTGTGGAAAAAAATTAACCACCTCAGAATTGTTTAGGGAGGTGTTAGAGAAAGGACAGGAAACAGGATAAAGGACATCACTGATTATGAAGTCATCCCAAATGTCTAAAAAAATATTCACTTATAAAACAAAACAAAACATGGTGGAACATTTGTTCATATCTATAAAGAATTATAGCGTGTTGGGTAAACCAACACACTAAGCCATAAAACTATGTTTGAACTAACACACAAAACAAAATAAAGGCATTATTGCAAGTGTGAATGCAAATCTAACCTATACATATATCTTCATTATCTACATTCTCCCCTCACTTAGTAATGCATCTGTTTTCATTATCACTGGCTATTGATTATGTTAATGTTGATACCTTTCCTTGTTCAAAAAATCAAAATATGTACATAGGAGAAGTAGCATACCTTAATTCCCCTTTTGTAGTTAATCAATTTGTCCCTGTAACCTGTAAAAGAAAATGGCTATGCGTTTTATTTTTCTTTAATACGTTTTCCATCAGCTGAAATTCTCCCATTTTCTTTGTACTGAAAACATCTGTATGCACACAGAGATGAACATTTCTTCCTATCTAGAACAGCGGTTGCCAACTGGTGGGCCACGGCAAAATTTTGGTGGTCCGTAGAGAAATGGCAGAGAAATAGCCCCTGAAAGCAATTAATCCAGGCCACGTGGGAAAACAAGGCTGCTCCGCCCACATGGCCCGCCCACCCGCTGACCCCCACCCTTTGGCCGAGCACAAACCTTACCTTGAGACTGAGTGGAGAGTCATGTGAGCTGGAATTGGAAGGTAAGACCAATGGCAGGGGAGGAAAATCGCCCTGAGGTGGCTTGCTAATGTTGGTGGGAAAGTTGGTCCCATATTCCAGAGCTGTAGTAGTCACAGAACTGGCCCTTTGGTCACCCCGGAGCAGTTCCTCCATTGGGATGACTACAGCTCTGAAATATGGGACTGGCCCCTGGTGGCTGGAATGAAGTAATGGTTCTGCTGTGGCAGGGAGTGCAGCACAAGCGGCAGTGGCTGGAAGAAGCAGTACTCAATTTGCATCTCCTTTCACTGCGGTATATTTGCGGCAGCTGGGGCGCCAAGACAGCCCCTTGTGTCCTGCCACGTCTGTAGTGCAGCAGAGAGAAGCAGTCAGAGTTAACCCTAGCTCTGCATATGCTAAATTGCCCCCCTGCAAACTATTGTCTCTGTAGCTGAAGCAGCGTGGGAAACTTCAGCCGGATTCTCGAGAGACAAGAGTGACTCCGGCTGCTTCTCTCATCTCTCTCAAGGAGCACCTGACAGCTTGGCTGGAGGGGAAACCTCTCTGATCCCTCCACAGGCTCTCCGAGGTGGGCAGCAGGGAAGTGGCACTTGGAAGAAGCAGATTGCCACTGCCAGGCTCCAGGGTTTCTCTCCTGCTAAGGGTGCAGCCATCGGGCGGGGACAAAACGGTGCCCGGCTCCCCTCCTGGGGCAGGAGAGGTAAGGAACAGCAGAAGTGGCAGATGGAGGGCTGATGGAAGAAAGCAACTCTCCTCTGGGAGGGTGAAGGTGTCAACTTCACCCCCTTTCCTTGCCTGCTTCCAGGTGAGGCTGGAAGAGCACTGGCATCCCTGTCCTGGAGCCCCCACTTTCTCCCCCTCCCCTCCCCCTAATTAATCACCGAGGGTGGCAGTCCTTCTGCAGGCAGCTGCCTGCTGAGAAGCCCCTGGAGTGGCAGCCGAGGGGCGCTGCCCCCCAAGGAGAGCAAAGCCCCCTTTCTGTCTCTACTTCTCCCAGCAGCAGTTGCCTCAAGGCCCCTCAGTTCAGACACCCACCCCTTGCTCTTCTGTCTCTTTGGAAGGTGCAGATGGGGGAGGGATGGAAGCATCCCAGGCAGCCACAGTTATAATTAAATAAGTATGTATGTATGTATGTATGTGTGTGTGTGTGTGTGTATACACACATATATACATATGCATACACATACCTAATTTTTAATATTAAATTTATATTTAATATAAAAAATTAAAAGTTTTATATTAAATATATTATCATTTTTTTAAAAATCATCGGGATTTAAAAGTATGTTTGGTGGTCCCTGAGGGTCAAAAGATTGGCAACCCCTGATCTAGAAAACCACCCTATAGAGGAAAAAGTGATATAAATGCTTAATGAACACAGAACTTCCAAAAATTACGGAAGAAAATAAAAACATCCTAAATGAAGAGATCAGACTAGAAGAAGTAATTGTGGTGATAAATAGATGGAAAAAAAAACAATAAGGCACCAGGACCAGGCAGGCTTCCGGCTGAAATGTATAAAACTCAACAAGGAATATTAAGCAATAGGCTACTTAAAATATTCAGTGCGGTCTTGGAAGAGGCAAAAATTCTGCAAACATGGGATGAAACGACGATTACAATCATCCCTAAAGAAAATACTGACCAGACAGACATTAAAAATTATAGACCAATATCTCTGTTAAGTATGGACGATAAGACCTTTGTAACAATAGCTGATAGATTCAAAAAAAATTAAATGAGTTTATACACGTCGACCAAAATGGTTTCCTTCCACAAAGACAACTCAAAAACAATCTTCATAAATTTATGAAGAAGGATGATGTTTTTATGTTTTATGTTGTATGTCTTATGTTGTTTTGTTTGTTGTTAAAATAAAAATCTTTAAAAAAAACAATCTACGAATACTACAAAGAATGCAGTGGAGACCAAGTGGCACTATTATGTCTGAATGCCCAAAAGGCATTTGACAATGTTAAATGGAATTTTATCTTACAACAATTTAGACACATGGACTTTGGGCAGAAATTTTTAAATGTGATCTCGGCAATATATACTGCGTTTCTCATATAATAAGTCCAGGTCTTATTTTTTTTTGAGCCCCGAAAAAACAGCTAGGCTGTCTTTTCAGGGGTGAATTAATCTCTCCCCCATACGCACCCTCGCCTAGAGCGCCCCGTGAGCAGCTATGCCTCGCCACCAGCCGCTTCTAACAACCGATCATGGCAGAGTGCAGAGGACTTCCTACCCCTGCCAAGCACCTTTGCTGCAGACCCGGGTATGGTGTTGGTTGCAGCAGGAAGTGCAGCGGGCGGGCAGCAGCAGTGTAGATGTCGGCCTCGGCAGGGCACTTTAAATTGCAAGACCTTTGGTGCCTGCCGCTGCTGCTTCCTTTGCCACTCTTGCTTTCCCTTCGCATTCCTCCACTGGCAGTGTTTCAGCCGCTTCTTGGTCAGGGGAGTTGCCTCTGTAGCTTCCACTGTTCCTGCTGGCACTGGCACCTCTCTCACCAGTGCTGTCTCCAACAACAACAGCAGTGCCGGCGGGAACTATGGAAGTGTTTCAGATGTTTCTTGGGCGGGGGAGCCGCCTCTGTAGCTTCCACGGTTCCCGTCAGTGCTGGTGAGAGAACAGCGGCAGGCGCCGAACGTCTCACGATTTAAAGTGCCCTGTCGAGGCCGACATCCATGCCGCCACTGCCCGCCTGCTGACCTGGTCTGCAACCAGCACCATACCTGGGTCTGCAGCAAAGACACTTGGCAGGGGTAGGGAGCACTCCATCCTCCGCCATGATCGGCTGTTAGGAGCGGCTGGTAATAAGGCGTGGCTGCCCGCGGGATGCTCCTAAGGGCAAGTTTCCCCCCGCCCTCCCTACCAATTTCGCATGTTTTAAAATAGGCCTAAATTTGAGGGGAGGGGCTTAATTTCATTTTATCCCTAGAAAACATGCTGGGGCTTCCTATGGTGGGGGCGTATTGTTGAAGAAACATGGTAGCAATCAGGAAGCAAAAATATTAATTAATGGGGAAACAACTAAACAATTTTAAATCCCAAAGGGAACGAGACAGGGATGTCCCCTATCACTGTTTTTGTTTATTCTAACATTAGAAGTATTAGCTAGGATAATTAGAAAAGAAACACAAATAAAAGGTTTAAAAATAAAGAAAGAAGAATTTAAGTTACAAGCTTTCGCAGATGGCCTAGTTTTCATTCTAGAAGAACCACAAAAATCAGGACTAAAACTCAAAGAAACAATAGAAGAATATGGAGAGGTTGCAGGACTGAAAATTAATAAGGAAAAAACTAAAACAATCGCCAAGAATATGACAAATAAACAAAAAGAAACACTAAGATAATGGGCATCTAGATAGTTAATAAGTTAAAATATTTGGGGATTAAGATCTTGGCAACAACTAGCAGATGACGTGAATGTGTTTTACTGCAGTTTTGAATGGAAACTACAGCCACCTATCTCCACAACCCCCATCTCAGGCACACGAACAGCCAAACCTCCCACAACTGATCCCAACCCACTGGGTTCACAAGCCTTGGTGATCACAGAAAAAGAAGTGCAAGGTCTATTTTACAGATAAAAGCCAGGAAAAGCAGCAGCCCCAGACAAGACAAACTCCTTCTTGCTTAAAAGTCTGTGCTGACCAATTGGCCCCCATCTTCACCCGAATCTTCAATAGATCACTAGAGATGTGGTATGTTCCTTCTTGCTTCAAATGCTCTACTATCATTCCAGTGCCAAAGAAGCCCTCCATCAAGGAACTGAATGACTATAGACCAGTTGCTCTAACATCTGTAGTTATGAAAATCTTTGAAAGGCTTGTGTTGTTTCACCTGAAAACCATCACAGATCCGCTGTTAGATCCCATGCACTTTGCATACCAAGCAAATAGATCGACAGATGATGCTATTAATATGGCTCTGCATTACATCCTACAACACCTTGAATCTCCAAATACCTATGCAAGAGTCTTCTTTTCTTTCAGCATTCAATACCATCAGTCCAGACATTCTTCTAAGTAAATTAAATCAACTAGCGGTACCTGAACACACTTGTAAATGGATCATAAGCTTCCTAACAGACAGGAAGCAGCAGGTGAAGCTAGGCAGAATCACATCTGATACCTGTACAATTAGCACAGCGCCCCCCCCCCAAGGCCGTGTGCTTTCTCCACTTCTCTTCTCCCTATATACCAATGACTGCATCTCAAACGATCCATCTGTTAAAATATTGAAGTTTGCTGATGACACAGCAGTGATTGGTCTCATTCGAATGACAAATCTGCATACAGACAGGAGGCTATACAACTTGCCTTGTGGTGTAACCGGAATAATCTGGAACTGAACACACTCAAAACCATAGAAATGGTGGTAGACTTAGAAGAAACCCTCCCATACTACTACCTCTTACAATACTAGACAACCCCGTATCAACAGTAGAGACCTTCAAATTTCTAGGTTTTTCTATATCACATGACCTAAAATGGACACCTAACATCAAAAAAGCACAACAAAGAATGTTCTTTCTGTGCCAACTCAGAAAGCTCAAACAGCCCAAGGAGCTGCTGATACAGTTCTATGGAAGAATTATGAAGTCTATCATCTGCACCTCTATAATTGTCTGGTTTGGTTCTGCAACCCAACAGGAGAGACACAGACTTCAGAAGATAATTAGGACTGCAGAAAAAACAATTACTACCAACCTGCCTTCAGTCGAGAACCTGTATATTGCATGAGTCAAAAAGAGGGTTGTGAAAATATTTACAGACCCCTCACATCCCGGAC